CGTGTCTGTAACAATTTTTTATATATAATCCTTCGGTCCCAAAAAACGAAGGAGGTATCAGCGTAAATAGAGGTCTAAAAAAAGAGGGAGGAGACTAAAAAACAAGAAGAAAAAAAGGAAAGATGAAGCGCAAGTATAATCTGTGGTCATTTTGTTTCGGGGATTCAACAAAATTTCTTTTTAAAAAGAAAACATTGATAAAAAAAATTCGTCGTTTCACTGTTGGGAATAAAATAAGGGTATAAAACAACGTTGTTTTGATATCTGGGGATTTTTTTTTTACCAAAAATTCAGATTTTTTCTCATTCATTAATTTGAAATTGAATTTATGCATTCTCCTTTTTGCCCCCAATAAGTCGCTGACGTCATATCAAGGCCATCCGACGTACGAGATCAATTTGAAGGTGGCCCTGAATATTTCTTGGGCATTTAATTTCTTGTCTACTGTGCCTTTATATTAAGTAGTATTAGGATAATAGATATAGTATCTGTATATTGGAGTTTAACCACTTTAAAACTAAAAAAAGTTTAATTCAATGTATTATTAACAAAAAAAAAAAGTTGATTTTGAGCAACTTCAAGCTCCAAAAATATATTTCAACTCAAAGGCTATAGCACATTAGCTCAGGAGCGGAGTCAAGCCCAGAACACTAGGTGGGGCAAAATATATAATGCCTATAAATTACTCTCTGTTCTACAAAACTAGTCCGCATAATAAATTACACATCTAATGAAAATCAACCCTTTATTAAGAGTTTTTTCCGCCAAATCAAAATTATTTTGTAGTTTTTGTTTATGCCCCTTGTTTTCTGTATTTTTGTTGAGGCAAAAATGAAAAAGACTAACAAATTAAATAAATTTAGGGGTAAATCAAGGGTAATGAGAAAAATCCAGGTGGGCAATCGCCCCATCTCTACTGTACTTGGCTCCGCCCTTGCATTAGCTGATACAACGCGTAATTGCGTGTATAACTTTCCCATATAAATTTTCATATTTTTAAATGTTTTTAATATAATACTAAAATCACTGAATTTATTTTGTATTTCCATCAAAACTTTACGAATTGAAATGTGATAATACTAAAATCACTGAATTTATTTTGTATTTCCATCAAAACTTTACGAATTGAAATGTGATTCATACATTTACGAAGTCCAGTGCACAAGTAAATATATATATATATATATATAGTTGTGCGGGATAAACACTAGTGTGTATATATATGTATATATATATATATATATATATACTAGTGTTTATCCCGCACAACTATTCAAGATTTAAATTATATTTCTGTAATTTTTAATGTCAATATGTTTTGTTATTTTATGTATATTCAGTATAATTTTTAATATTCAAAACCATCCAATGCAACTTATTGTCCATATTTTCATTTTCTTGATTTATGACTTTATATTCTTTAAAAGTGTTCTGTTGATTTTTCATAAACTTTCTTTAGAAGTTTGTTCGTATATATTTTTCTTATAACATATCGTTTACGTCATTTTTTTTCTTGGTTCCATAGTCTTTATTTTTTCCCAACCTGAAAAAATTTGTGATAATTACTTCATTTTTAACTGCTATCTCGGTTTTTTAAAATTTTTTTTTTCTTATTCTCAATGCTTTTCTTCTATGGTGTGTGTCTCATGAAAACTTTTTTTTTCCACATTTGAAAATCTTTATCCGTATTGATCTCTACGCTTTGTTTTATCATCATAATATTAACTTTTTCTACCATTATATTATATGATAAAAGTATAATAAATTATGTAATTAATTATATATATATATATATATATATTTCATTAAGGTTAAAAGATTCATTGGTGAAAATCGCATACACTTGAATTTCAAGATGCATATGACAAAAAACAGGCAAAAGAAAACTATTTAACAGCAGTATAGAGTATTATTCTTCTTAACTACGATGAAACAATTTTGATTACGAGAAGTCATGCATCTTTATTTCTTTTTTTTTTCTAGATGTGTTAATATTAATATTATAAATAATTTAAATACTTATTTCTTATAATTTTTAACTTATCTTATTTGATACTAATATTTAATTATGTTTAAATTTAATACTTATTAGTAATATTTAATTATGTTTAAATTATGTTTAAATTTTTTACCCATTCGGCGGGGTCTTTTTTCCTTATTAGTTTTTTTTTTTTTTTGTCTCCTTGTTAGACTTTTTTTTTTTTTCCGTAGTGTTAAAGTGAAGACACGTGATCTTTCATATTAGTTTAATTCTCTTATGGTTAATAAAAAAATTAAATCAGTTAAAATTAGTAATTTATATATTTTACAGATTTATAAATAAAAAATTACCATTAAATAATAAAGTGATGTAATTGCGACATGTGGACTTGGCTATCTAATTTTTTACCGTGTAGATTACCCTATCTAGTTTTGTAAATAGCAAACATAACATTAATCAAATTGTTATTTCACATCTATATTTATATTTTCCATACCTTGATTATTACCTGAAAAATATGAAATTACGGCTCCGGTAACCTTTCTCCTTCAATGTTAGTGAAAACATGTAATTTAGTTTCAAGAAGTTTTGGATAGAATTAAGAGTTTGTTACTTGTTAGTGATGATTTTGCAAAAAATGATGGCATAAATCAAATAAAGACTAAATTGAAATAAAAAAAAATCCATTAAAATAAAAAGTCGAATTAAGTGAACTTAACAAACATGAAGGACCAAAGAGAAATTCATGTAGGACTTCATTCTTCATATTTGCATTTTGAATGCAAATCCCCCTGTCAAAATCTCTCCCCGCTCTCAGGCTGTTCTCTCCAGTTTGCTCTTTCTCCGGTCAACCATCTCCGGTAACACGAGCTCGCCGGAACCTCTCCGTTTCCTCTGATACGCCGTTTGAATATAGGTGTTTAAAGTTAAGGATTTAAAAGATATCGCTGAAATTGCCCTCCTCACACTGCGTTTCTCCGTTATCACGGTACAACTACATATTCTAAGGTGAACTTTTCATATTTTTATTAAGGAAAAAGTTATATTCTTCCATTGATATGCCCTATTTCTACTTCTGTTTTTGTTCTATTAACCAATTTAGTGAAAAACAGGAGCTTTTTGGAACTTTTCGTAGGCTACAAAAATGCATTGTTTTTCTTACTCCCTCCGTCCCAAAATTATTGTCCAGTTTGGATTTTCAGATTTAGTTTCAAATTGTACTAAAAATGATAACTCAACGCTGGAGCAATTGCGTTATCTTTTTAGTTTCGGAGAGTACATTAAGTCCCCTGGAATTCCTGCTTTTTCTTCTAAACATTTACGTTGATTTTCTTAATGAATTTAGCCTTCTGCATTTTCCCCTTGAAACAGTAGAATTTACAGAAGAATTAGTAAAATTAAACATGTTTGGTACGAGTGTAGATTCTGCTGAGATCTGGCTGAAAAATCTGGAAAGCAATGGGGATTTGATTGGTTTGACAGAAATTAAATTTTTCATGGAGTCTTCTCATGTGCATCTCTAAAGCATTTGACATGTATTTACACTTGTTTCGACTAACTGCAATCAGATTTGCTATTTTATTGCTTCTTTTGTTGAAATATAATTAATTTAACTAATAATCATCCCTCAATTCTTCCTTCTGGGTAACTCAATCTGTGGTTTGTAAATTATCATAAGGCATGTCATTTAACTTTTTCTGGATATTCTGGGGTTGTTCCTGGCTATTCTGAAAATCCTAGTTGAATTGGGTAGGAACAATAACTGATGTTTTATGTGTTACTAATGGCTGACAAAACATTACGTTTCCATTTTTTGTAAATGCGTCATCCTTTGAAAGTAGTCCAACCCCAAGAAAAGTGCTTTCTAAAGATCGAACAACTTCGGTAGAATTTCAACCCCCATATAGGAATTGGTTCGATACTCTTTAGGTCTGGTTTTGGGAATAAAACTGAATGGTTTTTGGGGGTAAATGGAGGACTCAGGCTGTCGTTAAATGGAAATGATACAACCATCATTGAAGATGATAATTAGAACCAGTCTCAAAATCTGATTACTACTCAACGTATTATATTTAAGCATGAGGATTCTGTCCACTAAGGAGAGTCGATGGATAGTAGTTTCATGTGACAAGCTTACACTGCAGGATTTGGTGAACGGAAGTAGTTGTGTTGATATATTACTTCGTTCAACAACAACATGCCCAGTATAGTCCCAATCAAGTTGGGGTCTGGGGGTGAATTGTATGCAGCCTTACGCTTATAATTACACAAAAAGGATGTTTCCAAAGCGACCCATGGTAGATATATTACTTCGTTAGTAAAACTAAATTAATATTTGAATGGTAGCTTTTGAAAAAGTGCAGTACTACTATAAGGCAACTCTGTGACTTAATGAATTAGTAATCAACTGCAAATGAACTACTACAGAGGTACGACATTATAGAAAAGATCCTGTTCAAGTAAGGGTGAATTGCTAAACAGAATGAGTCCTAGAGTTTTGCATGGAGGATTTTTCAGTCTCTGTATGTGCAATTGTAAGATCAGATGTTATTAACAAAAAGAAACAACAGATCATTAGCGCTAGAGGATAAAAGAGTAAGACTACGATTAGTTTTTATTCTAATATACACGATTAAGCATTCTGGAAACTTATTGTGTGAGGCCCTGGTATTCTATCAATTATGAGAACCGTAAGTAGACGTAATTAGACTAGTTAATAAATGCTGTAGGAATGAAACTTTCTTTTAGAAGATTTGGTTAGTGTTTCTATTGAATTAAAAGTGGTGATCCTATTTGGTATTTGAGAAGGTTAGCAAGTTGTGAATTGAAACTAAATTGATTTTAAAATAAGTAACTTAAAAGGTAATTAAATGCAAAGAATGAGAAACATATTAGTTAAATTAGTAAAGGTTACAAACATGAGGGACTATGTCGCAATTACAAATGGATTGAGTGTCGAATTTCCTTTTCCTTCTAAGAAGCCATGCTACATCATCATTACATTTGCATTTTTTAATTTTTTTTTTTCATTTTCTCATTCTTTTTCAAACTCCATCTTCCACCTCCAGCTTTCCTCAAACCCCAATTCCCGAACACCACTGCTCCGCCATCCATCTCACCTTTTTCTTAGAGCATCAATAAACGATAAGTTGAGAAAAAAGGAAGGCTTCAATCGGCAGCCATAAAGGGGAAAAAAATTCTGGAAAAAAAGAAGAAGAAAAGAAGCAAGGTAAACTTGGATAAATGATCTCTTTATACTTAGTTTCTTTTCTTTCAAGATGATTTATAGAGGGTCATTCTGTAGGATCTTATAGTATTGTTCTAATTATAAAACACATGCGTAATAAAGAAGTATGGAGAAGAGTGAGCTTGATCGATCGTAAAAATAGGGCAAAGGGGGTTCTTCAGGCTGAGCTTGAAGATTAATTTGGACGCGGCAGCGCTGTAGTGATTGTTAACTTCTTGCTGTTAGTTCTACTTTATAATTTAGAAGTGAAATAGAAGGGAATAAGGGTGAGGGGTCAGCTCGTCGGCTAGCTTCTAGGGACAAGGAAGGATTTGGATTTCGAATATAGATCAATAATGATGCTGCTGTTGCACCGCTTTGTTAGATTAAGGAGAAATAAAGCAACAAGTGGGAATGGTGGGTTGCTAGGCTTTGGCTAAGAAAAGGACATAGGAATAAGGGTGAGGGGTCAGCTCGTCGGCTAGCTTCTAGGGACAAGGAAGGATTTGGATTTCGAATATAGATCAATAATGATGCTGCTGTTGCACCGCTTTGTTAGATTAAGGAGAAATAAAGCAACAAGTGGGAATGGTGGGTTGCTAGGCTTTGGCTAAGAAAAGGACATAGGAAAAGGTTCTATTTAAATTTAAAGCTTGAGCAAAGTAGATGATGATGGTGCGTGGTACTGTTGTTTCAGTTCTTGTAAATTTTAATTAACTAATTAGGATTGGTTAAGGTACTTGAAATTTGTATCGCACATGAAACCTAACTGACATTGGTTTTTGGAATTGGATTTAGGAAGTAAATTTCAGTACTTGTTTGATTAGGAGATACATTAGTTATTGCTACTCATGACTCCGGGTTATTTAACTAAACAGAAGCTTCTCAATATAATTATATGACATTGAGCTCTCTTTTGTGGGTAACAGATTCCTCAAGTGAGTCTTAAGAGCTAGGAAACTGTGACAGGTGAGTACTCCTCCGGGGATTTGGATGTGAACGCTTTACCTATTGTGTTTTTGTACATATATAAATACAGGTCCTTATTATAAAAATGAATGATACATGCATGCCTTTCATTCAGGTATAATATGTAGCAAGATTTATTTGAGTAATGTGGTCAGCTTGGGTTATTTGCTGAATGCTATGGCCTGTCTGCTCTGTTGTAACCTTATTTAGTGATGTGGCATGTGAAATATTTGACCATGTATATGATCAGACTGCATGGTATGGATGATTGAAATAAATGATAAATGATTTTGAATCATGAATTGAGGGCACATACTTCTCTTGTTGGGATGATGCCCATGATATTGTTATGATTGTTGGGAACTAAGTGTCTACGTGCGTGAGCCACCTCTAGGATCCCTCATTCGGGACTAAGTGCTATGTACGGGAGCCACCTCTAGAATCCTACTACTGGAACTAAGTGCTCACGTTCGGGAGACGTCTCTAGAATCCCGTAAATGGGACTAAGTGCTACTAACTGGAGTTACCTCTAGAATTTTCTACCTCTAAAACTTGTTGCATGCATTTGGGAGTCGCCTCTAGAATCCCATAAATGGGACTAAGCGCTACGAACAGGAGCCATTTCTCAAATTCTTAACTAAAGAAATGTTGTGGGAGTTGTTGTCATATTTCTTTGAGCTATGACTTCAATATTACTTGTGCCTCAGAGCACTCTTATTAAAGTTATATGTAATCCTCGTACCGTCTTAGGTGGGCTGAAATATTGATTTGTTGTTACTGCTTCATGGATGAACTGTTTGCATAGTTAACGATTACCTAAACAGTGTGTTTGGTGATACTGTGTGCACTTGATATTGTTTGCTGCATGGGGTCGATAGGTAATAGCAGAGGACTTCACCGAGCGGAGCTTGCATAATGCTAGCTCACCCCATATATTATACTTCTCCATCCCAGGTTGTCAGGAATGATGAAAGATCCAAGGTTGAGATGCTTAACTATCTACTGCTGGAGAGTGATGCTTCTGTTCTAGTGTTAGCCTGTTAGGTTAGAACGGCAGCTAGAGATTTAATCCATCTGGATAGTAGGAATGAATAATTGTTTGATGTTTAGCAATGCAAATAAAGTGATGTATGGGAGGGAGGTTATCAGTGTATATTGTAAGAACTTCACTTGTAATTAACTAAAATTTTATGAGTTTACATCGTTTTGATATTGTTCCACAATTCCTGGCGAGAAGGCGCACGATTGATCACTTATGGTAAACTGACAGGTGAGCAGTTGGGGCATCACATATTGGACTGATGAAATAGATGAACCTACTCCAACTAGTTACACAGGTTAGCAGTTCAGGATTGTAAATGCCTTCAGGAATCAGGAAAAGCCAGGTGGATTTTCTCTCTTTGTTCTCTTTAAAAAGGTGTTCTCGATACCTTTGTTACAGATGAGTTCTCATTATTTTTGCAATTGAAGTATCCTCGCCAATGTTCTTTGAAAGTTGGAGTTCGGTCGGGCTGTTATGGGTGGTATCAGAGTGTAAGGATACGGCTTTTTGATATTTTTGGGAATAGAATATAGTTGAAAATAGATCGCCGTTCGAGGGATAAAATCTTAGTTTACATTTGTTCACAAGGCTCAGACTCCCCTTAAATAAAACTTGATATGTGTGTATTAGAGCTTAAAGATGCGAGCTGGTGAGACTAAAACCTAAGATGTGTGTACCTCTTTTGAGAGTAGAACATTTGGTGAACTTATCAGAGTTGTAGTATGATCAATTTAGGATGAATAATTATGATGTGTGATCTGATTTTGTGAAAGAACAATGTTATACTTCGGCTTTTTCAGCAAATTTTGGCTGAAACACTCTTTGGTGATTCGCAAGTGTTAGATTGATGTTTTGTGGAATTTTTTATACACATCACTTCTTGGTTTATCCTAGTTTTTGTCATAGTTTGTGGATGGTTAAATGGATTCTTGGTTGTCTCTGAAAGTGGTTCAAATTCGAAATATCAGATCTGATTTTTTTCTGGAAGGACTGATACCCACTGTTTGAATTTCCGTTTATTATGTTTATAAAACCTTCCCATTTGATTTCTTTCTACGAACTTTTCTTTGTTTGATAAGGTTTATGTCAGTCTTTGTGGCATATGAAATGGATTTCTGGTCATTCAAATTTATTCTTGAAAGAAGGCCATCATTCTGAATTTCTGTAACATTCAGAATTTTCTGACTGATAGGTTTGAGTTTCAATGTTTGCATTTAACAATTTTAAAACCTTTTTGTGTGATTCCTTTTCCAAAACTCTTCTATACTTGTTGAAATTTGTGTTAGTTACTCTCGATTACTTATAAACTGAGAATTATTTAAAAAATAAAAAAAAGAAGGGTCTTTTGCATATAAATTTCCTGAAATTTCAGAACTAAAGGCCTGAACTACTGATTTTAGTCAAATAGTTTATCATCATTGGAAAAATCTTTGATTGATTTCAGTTATTGATTTCTTTCTTGGTTAATATGGTATATGTCGGACTCTGTGGATATCTAAACAGACTTAAAAATGATTAGAAACAGTGTTTTAAAATGGCTTTCCTATCAAATGTTTTCTGAGAACTCAGAGCTTCTGGTTCAGGAGACTGTCTTTACCATACTGTATTACATCATTCTGAAGCCTCTGCATATGTTTTATTTTTTGAAACCCATGTAAACTGAAAGAAGTTTGTGTCAGTATTTTCTGGTCGTGAAATGGACCTTTCATTACTTTTCAAAACATGCTTCGAAAATGAGTCACAGAGCTGTGAGTTTCTAAAATTTTATATTATTGAAATAAATATAGAAAACACTGGATTAGCAATGTCAGAGATTAAAGATAATCTACTAAGCAGTTGGTATAGAAGATATTTGTACCAATTTGGGGATATGATCTCTTGAGGAGAAGATATAAGAATATGTAAGCATTAAGGATGTCCAGAGTTAGTGAAGACTTTGATCTGTTAAACGGGAAGTTAAGCCGAGGGCATAGACTTTGACATTTTAGTTATTAAAAGGTCTGAGTACATGATCATTCATTTTGGTTTTGAAGTTACATATTACTTGGCCAGGATCATTAGCTTAGAAGCAATCTATTAGCATTTAACACCCAAAAAAAAAAACACACACACACACACGCACAATGGAAGCTTGGGCTTAAAAGAAAAAAAAAGGGAATGTACGTGAAAACTTATGTGGGACTCTAGAAGCCTTAATTTTAAGATACTTTAATCAATAGATGAGATTCCTCTTGAGATGTTGCAAAAAACATTATTCTAACCCTGAAGAAGTCTAAGCATCCTTTCCTTTAACCTTACATAGTCACTATAATGTTAGTAACCGTAATTCCATTGTTAGGATGCAGAGATGGAACCATATGGTGCTCAAATTACTTTTATTCAGCAACTAGCTCAAAGGGAAATTGATAATTAAATATCAACCAGGAAAAGACGATTTAGTATTGGTGATCCTGATGCCGAGAAGGCTGAGATCGGGTTGAAACAATTGGCTGTAGTTTTAAATTATACCGAGGAGCGTAACATACACTTTGCCATATATCAGATGGATGATGCTGCTCAAGTGTGGTGGGCAGTTGTTGAAAAGAAATGGAAACAGAACCAAACCCCCTATACCTCGGAAAATTGTATCCAAGAATTTAAGAACAAATATGTTCCGCGATTAGTTCGAGAGAAGAGGCACAAGAATTTATTTAGAAAAGGAAGGATGACAGCAACTCACTAAGCTATATTACTATGCTGTCGAAATTTTCCCTGAAAATGGTGGAAATAGATGTCGAGCGCAAAGAGAGGTTCATTAAAGGACTTTGAATTGAAATTGGACATGCTTTGGCAGTCTCTAAGCTTGATTCATATGCCAATGCCGTAGAGATGGCACAACGGGTGGAAAGTACCTGGATCGAGTTAGAAGAAACTCGAGCCAGCAACGGAACATGCTTGCAATAGGAACATCTATGGCCAATTTACCCTATTTTCCATCCCTTAAAGATGATGAGATACAAGGACCAAAGATATCTCAAAAGGAGAAAGACATACCAGGCTTTTGTAACTATTGCAAAAGATATGGCCATGAAATTCAGAGTTGTCGCAGGAAGGGGTAACAATGCATCTGATGTGGATGTACCCAACACATACCTAGTGCTTGTCCCGAACTGTCAGTTTCAGCAAGCAAGAAGAGTCGTTGCTGATATGGCCTTGTAAAAATTTATTTCTTTTGTAACTATTCAAAAGATATGGTCATGAAATTTGGAGTTGTTGCAGGAAGGGGCAACAATGCTTTTGATGTGAAAGTAGTCAACACAGTCTAGTGCTTGTCCCGAACTGTTGGTTTCAGCAAGCAAGAAGAGTAGCTGGTGATATGACCTTTTAGAAATTTGTTTCTTAACTGTAAATTATTTAGGCTCTGTGTTTTTGTTGTACCATTCAGGCAGGAAATTTCGAGGATGAAATTTTTAAGGGGGGAGGAATGTGAGTTTCTGCTCCGCATGACCTCTCTGTTTAGCTTCTCGCAGGTTTATTGTTACTTTAACTCTGTTTAATCAGTATTAAATAAGCTTGTAGCTCAATTGTAATCCCAGTGAATTAATTTAGAAGAAATAATAAAACATAACCCAAAACAATCGTATTTGATAACCCACTAGTATAGTAAATTGAACCAATGTAAAATATTTTTGCTGCTGATTATTTTACATTAGTTCTTTTTAATTTCTTCTACTGTTTTCCTTTTCTTTTTTTTTTTTTAAATTATTGTTTTAGTTCCAATATCTTCACTTTGTATATGCTAATCATGGTATCTATGCCAGAAAGTATATTAAAAAAAACCTAATCATGTGCATCTTGGTGTCCAGGCAGGATAATAGGATTCTTGAGCACTAAGCATATCTCTGAAGTTGGTCTCCTACAAAGAAACATCAGGTATCTACAATCATCATCCCCATGGCTATCTATGTTTATTTTTATGTTCCGCGGCAGGTGTTTTAAAGATTCATTTTGGAAAAATTTAATGGTGGATGAGTCCTTGTAATTAGCATGTTTAAGCTTATATATTAGAATTTCTTCTGGTGACAATGAGGTGCAGTCTAGTGGTAAGACGCGTCCCCTGTTTCTAGTAGGTCACGGGTTCGGGTCACGTGGGGAACCACTATGATCCCTTTAAAGAGGAAAAAAAAAAAAGGATTTCCTTGTGGTGATCTTCATTTTCTTACCTTGTGGCAATTAATGGATTAGTGGATAACATTTTTATATATATTTAAATGGAAAGGATGAATGGTTTTATTGATATTTTTGTTGATCCTGCACCTTCGTTTTTCTTACTTTGTGGCAAATGGATTACACTTCGATGTAGTTAAATGGGAAGGTTGAATGATTTTATTGGTAATTTTGTTGATGATAATCTATAGACTGATTAATGTGATTTTGTTGGTGATTGATTAGTGTATTGTGTGTTCTTGATACCATTGAACTTCGACGATTTGAAAGACTGGAACAAGGGCAGTGATGCGGTGTTTAATTTTGATTATTCATTTGGAAGGATGCTAGTGTGGTAGTACAGGGGTTGGGGCTGATTTATTGCCTTTAAAGATGACAGATGACTTCATCGTTTCTTACCTTCATTATGCCACTTGTTTGCTTCATAAATAAATATAGGGGAGTAAAAACTAATGTTTTGAATGAGATACTTGCTCTCATGTGCAGAGTTTCTCGACTCATGTGCTAGACGATTGCTGCACAAAAAGTGTCTTCATCTACAAGAAATCTTAGGTTCTCTTTTTACGCTTATATGAACTTGAGATATCTGAACCTGGGGTAAGCTTGCTGTAAAGCTTGAGTTCACTAGAAATTACGCTAGAAAACCTTAGGCTTCATACCGAGATGAAGTTGCATCACACCACCCTTGTCATGACATATATGCTGCAGATTTTAATATTGAGCTGAAATCTAAAATCTCCTTTATCAAAGTTGCTTCACTAACTCTTGAGGAACAGAGATTTGTTTCTGGAATGTTTGTTGAACTCCAATCTAAAATCTGCTCTTAGAAGTACATTATTATTCATTATCCAATTTGATTACATCTTTCACTTCGCTAATGGCCTTAAGTCCAAATGTCCTGTCTTGGCCCAACAGTTGCCTAAATAGTCTTTAAAAAAAACAAAATTCGTTTGGGAATTGAAGATTCAGAATTTCCAGCAAAGTAATTATTCACTCAAATCAAGAAATTTGAATAGGTTTAGTGTCCTTTTCCCCTCACCTATGATGTTTCACTGTCTATAAATGCAGCCTCTTGATTCTAGTTCTTCCACTTATCTCTTCACCATTGAAAGTGCATTCAGAATCCAAGTTCCAAGAACCATTGATTTTAGAACATACAAAAAGATTAGTCTGTGTTAGACAATTTTCTTTTTTCTTTTATCTTTTTTTTAATCTTTATTTTTAGACTACAATTTCTTCGAAGCTAAATAGTGTTCAAGATTTTACTTCAATGTGAGGTTGTCTATGAAACTTGTATCACCAATTACGATCAAATTTTTCGCCAGCATTCAGCCTTTACTGTTTCCTCCAGGCATGCTCTCCATTTACCTCTTGATATTTCTATCCATAGAGTTTAAAATTGGTGCAAGTTATTTATAACTTGTTCACTGTCATCGTTTTCTAGAGATTTCACTTGAATTTCGTTTTCATTTCACGTGTTGTGTTCCCTATGTACTGTAATCTTTTTGTACATTATCATGTTTTTGCGCTTAATTGAATGATTTCAGGATGATACTATTCTAAGTGAACCTCAGTATGTTCCAGGAGAACTTTTGGCATCCAACTTAGAATAATTGACCCCAATTGGTAGCATTGGGACTGATCTGACATGCAGGTTTATAGGGTTTTTACTTGAACTTCCACCTAGTGGGACGAAAGCTTTTGTTGCCAAGCATTAAACTTTGTAGTATTTCTAGTTTTCACGTTGTCTGATTACGGTACATCTTCTAAAGTTTTTTCAGGTTATGGAAAATGCAGAATCTTTGAATGTTGTGGAAGAATGTCGGGAAAATTCCAATCCAAGAAAGCCTCGGATCCTTCTTGCTGCAAGTGGAAGTGTGGCTGCTATAAAATTTGCTAACCTTTGCCATTCATTTTGTGAATGGGCAGAAGTAAAAGCTGTAGCTACAAAGGCTGCTATGCATTTTATTGATAAAAAGGCACTTCCTAAAGATGTGACTCTTTATACAGATGAGGATGAATGGTCTATGTGGAATAAGATCGGAGATAGTGTCCTGCATATCGAGCTTCGCAAATGGGCCGACATTATGGTAATTGCACCTTTATCAGCAAACACGCTTGGGAAGGTAAATGATGTGGGTCTGTTTTTTTTTGGCAACGATGATTAACTTAATACCAGGTTTTATATCTTCATATATGATTACATTGTTAGGTTGTCTACATCAGGCATATTGTTTTTTTTTTCAAATTGGGAAATATGGGATTTAATAAAAGATTTACGTTCTTTAACCCAAAACAAATATTAAATTATTTTGAGAGTTATGGCAGGATCGAGTTAATAAAGTAGTGTCCCTGTATACTTCCTTCTTTTTCTCTCTCTCTCTCTCTCTCTCTCTTTTTTTTTTTCCCGTCCCTGTATACTTTGTGATGCTAAGAACAACGAAAATATTGATCAATAAATTATGAGATTCTCAATGCTTTATCAATCAGTGTTTGGCAACCTGAATGGTATATAGAAAGTAACAGAAATGAAAATGCCGAGATAGCTGACACTCTGAACTGCATAGTAGGATGTAGGATTCAGTAAAAAGAACACAAGTTAACCTCAATAGATGAAACTGTGACAGAAACAGGCTTAATGGTTTGAATTTGTGCATAGGATGCCTTTAATGAGAAGGAGAATGGGGAGATTGATATGAAACCAATATTAAGATAGAAGTCGTACTATCAAATCTGAAGGAGAAGTTTTGTAATTTGAATGAAACAAGATGACGGGAAGTGGCCAAAACCATACATAGTGGCGTCAAGGAAAGGTCTAACTGCAAATCTACTGCATTGATATGAACATTAGTTACTGTTTTTGTGTGTCGTGCACATGTTGAGCTATGCTTCTCTCAGATGTGGTTTTCGCAGCGTTTGGCTCTCAAGTATCTATGTAACAGATGTGTAAAAGCTCTCCCTCTACTTGGGTTAAGAACCAAAGTTGTGAATTAATTTTCTTTTTTGGTTCATTCATTTATATATGAGTATCTTTTCCAAGAAATTTGTCTTCCTTAATGAGGCGTGTTGATCATCAATTATTTGCTTTGTACTTCTGTTCACCCGATGGATCTCTGTAACTAGAATCGGAATCGGAATATTTCATTTTTGTGATCGTTTTTTACAGCACTTTGAAAAGGGTTCACAGTGTAGATGCATTCAACTTTAGACTACTGCACTAGTACACATACTCCCATCATTCTCCCACTTCCGTGTTATTTCCTGGTTTCCGTAAAGTGCGCATGCAATTGATTGCTGCCTGCATGGTTAGAAACAACTATGATATGCTCACGTCTAATTTGCAGATTGCTGGGGGTTTGTGTGATGATTTGCTCAGCTGCATAGTGCGAGCATGGGACTATGCTAAGCCACTTTTTGTTGCACCAGCTATGAATACAATGATGTGGAACAACCCTTTTACAGAAAGGCACCTCATGGTGATTGATGACCTTGGCATAAATCTTATCCCGCCTGTAACTAAGAGGCTTGCTTGTGGAGACTACGGAAATGGGGCAATGGCTGAGCCTTCTCTCATCTTTTCAACTGTAAGGCTCTTCTTGGAATCACGAGGACATTAAAGAGCAATACTGAGTTGAAGTGATCTCTAACTCGTTACCTTTGCTAACTTTGTAGTGTACACCATATCTTGCATTTTTATGTCTCTCTCATTTGTTGGAAATTGAATGTAACAATATTGTGTTTATTAGAATTATGTAGTTAAAGCCTGATTCGGTGAGTTACCATCTGCTGGGATGCTGCAACTGATCGACTGATACAGTTGACAGTTACATCAATCTGGAAACCAAACTAAAAAAAACTCTACTAATTTCAGAGACGTTTGTTTCGAGTTCGCGGATTTCGACGACTTCCTACAGGCTGCAATGCTTGTTTCTTAATGAACTTATCTCGCAATATTTACAATAACCAACTAATGTGGCTTTACTGACATTTCTAACACATAAAATCGTTTCCTCGCGGAGAATACATTTCAGAGGCATGTTGAATTCTCCTTTGATTATCCTTTACCAACTTTGATGGTTGTAAGAGATTTAGTTTACAATTTGATGATTGTATAATAAGAGTTTTAATACTATTTTGGTTCAACAATGACCTTATTTTGGAACGGGTATGAGAGGATAAAAAATTTTGAAGTAATGCCTGAAGGTGGTAAAATGTTCATAACAAAGTGCATCTATATGAACTAAAATTTTTAGTTTTTTACAGTCGTGTGACTAAACATTTTCTTCCATGCAACAGACCCGTCTGCACTCTTTTTTTTTTTTTTTGGTTTGTAAAGATGATGAAAAATTCTTCCTACAAACGAAAATAATGGCATCATAACTTTATTATATTTATGTATTAAGGGCCTCAAAAAATTGCCACGCAGTTCAATTTAGAAGTCAAACTGTGAAGAACTAGCCCTTGCAAGTTCTCCATCTAAAGTCTAAACCATGCATGTCATAATATGATACGAATTGACCATGCTTCCTTCTGTCTCAAGAAATCCATCTTGTCAAAAAGATTTAGTTCAAGAAAAATTTGGTATACTTCTTGGATTGAGGAAATAATATGCAAATGGAAATTGAACATCACAAAAATGTCTGATTGATTTGTGTAGATGCATTGCATAATTACCTATCAAAAGGTTAACTAAGCATAGTGAAATTAAATTCTAGGAACGATCATCATATAGTCTTCGATCAATTGCAACAAGTAGCAAGATTGTGTAAAGGAACCTAAACATGAAACAGATGTCCGAGCAGAACCCTAGATGAAATGCTCTAGTCAAAAAGATTGAGACTGAAGTCCTCTTCATCTTCTTCCTCTTCAACTTCTACTTACTTCTCTTCTCTGGCAGCAGAAGCCCCAGCACCCGATGTTGCAGCTGCAGCGGGATTGGCTGCAGCAACGACAAACTTGCTAGGATCCTAAAATGGGTTTTCAATCACACAACAAAGGGATCACAGGTTAAGGGAATACTCATCAGTTCATCAACAAAAAAAAAAGACTTCAATTTTATGGAGTTAATGACTAGCTTGATTTTTGCGCGAATCAAAATAGGAGATGGAAGTGACTGAGTTTCTCAGAAATTCAGATTACCTTGAGATACTCCTTCACTTTATCAGCCAGGGGGAAGGAGTATTCTGTCTCAACTGCAACAGCCAAGAGGTTTTTGTAGCCGTTGATTAACATATGAGGTGCAGCTGCCAAGGTCGGATATGCGATTTCCAAAGCGAGCCCAGTAGCCATGGAAAGGCCTAATGCAAATTTCTGAGCTAGATCATCTTCTGTCAGATCCAGCACTTCAGGACTGAAAACTGATCCATTGTCAAACACAGACAGGACAACAAGTCCATAAGAGAAGGGCCTGATCCCAAGCTTTGAGAGCAGAGCAGACTCAGAAGAACCAACTTTATCGCCCTTCTTGATAAGCTCCACAGGTGTAATGATTTCAACAGTTCCCTTGTTAATCTTTGTAGGAATATTGAGGACCTGGAGGTTTGAAATTCTTAAGTCAGTAAAATGTATCACATTTTAATCTTCAGATTGCACCATAAACAAACATCAGATCCCCAAGCTTTTAGCTTGTAGTTGCATTCATGCAAACACGTATCATAGTGGCAGATGAGACATATCATAATCGCAACCAGGAAAAAGAAAACTATAATTTCTGGTGGCAATATAAGTGATCAAAAGTTCTAATATACTCGAGATAGTAGACCAATGAAACTAAATACTCAGAGCCAATTCATTTCCAAGTCTGATCTATTGAACCTCATGTGTAAGGTCAAAGAAAAGAATGAAGTACCACATTTTCATATCAGTACCACATTTTCATATCAGTGCCTATGTAGGTATGCAAATCCTAAGAACAAATTAGCACCTGGAAGAAAGAAGTCTGGGATGGATCAAGCCCTGTATTTCCAGGTGGGACGACCACATCAACCGGAGCAATCAAACCAACTCGAGCCGGAGCACCAACCTATTCAAAAAATGTAAAAGAAAATATAAGGCATTAGGGGGAAAATCCCTTATGATCACATGGCAGGCAGTTTCTCAAATTAACAGTGATTCTGTATGTAGTTCATCAGAGCATCAAGACTAGTACTCCAAACATATGTAATTGACAAAACATAATGAATAGAATGTCCAGTATTACCACTTACAAGCTTATGCTTCTTAGTTGCTTAAGAAGGTCATTACCTTGGAAACTAATCATTTTAAAAGTTTGCACTAAAGTTACAACATTGACATGATAAATCCTTTCAGAAATTCATTATACAATTACAAAGTTATAAGGTTCAGCTAGCAGAATTTGTATGCAGTTATTATACCTTATACTTTGAGACCTCTTCACTCACTTCCTTCAAATCCCCTTTTGTGAATATTAGTCCCACATTTCCCTGTCACACGATCACAAAAGAATGAGATCCGAAACCTTGTAAGATTACCAAGTTTACGAAACATTTCAAGTTCAAAACTCAGTGAAAACTTCCATAACTTCAACAAGAGGTTTATCATTGCACAAGTTCCAAAATTGAAACCACAACGAGACCATAATTATTGACTCCATCGAATCAACCAATTAATTAATGGTAAAAGAAAGGAAAACGTGAATTCCCCATATTAAACCAAACAATAAAACTTTCCGGAAAAATACAAATATAATCTGACTGGCAGAGGCTCAATTAATATGCCACAATAAACAACATTATCTTCACCACTCTTACTCAAAAGGAACGTCATAATTGTGTGTCGTAATTAATAATTATCTAAACAGAGATTAACAATATCTTGATTTCAAAAGCTTTATGTAACCTTCTAAAACCCTGGGTAGTAATTAATTAAAAAAAATGAATAGTAATAAAATATTCAAAAAAATTCCATTGCGCCTGAAAACCCCCCAAACAAATTATCATCCCCTTCAAGATCATGTTCCATGTAAAGCGAAAAGGGGAGAAAAGGCAAAACATTTTTTTGTTTTTGGTTTTTGGGTCGTTAATACTTACAACAAGGAGGGGAATAAGATTGAGGATAGTCTCGTTTCCAGACTTCTCAGAATGAACCCTGATGGACCTCTTCATCATAGTGTTCTTCCCCATGAGAATAATCGATTCGCCCCGCAAACCCTTTCGGATGTTCTGCATCTGGGTCGACCCGACGTTGTCCGCTGCAACCACGAGCACCTGATGGTACTCGTCCAACAGCTTGCACAGCTTCTTGTCGTACGCCTCCTTCTTGGCGGCCTTGCTTGTTTTCACGGCCATTGTTTTGTTTCGGTTTTCCGTTCGGCGGTTTTTGTTTTTTTGATCGGAGGCGATGGAGAGAGAGAAAATGAAGAAGAATCTAAAAAGTCGATCGAAAAGATATATTCATATTAGGAAAGCAGTTTGAGTGTAAAGAGGACACTGCAAAACCCTACGGATCTTTCAAGCTTTCGTTTTCTAAAAACGGCAAAAGTAAAATGGTAAAAACCCCACTTTACACAGTTAAAGCAAAAATTTTCGAAATACCGAAAATACCGTCACTCATTCATTTATCATTGAAGAATTCTGTTGGGATGAATTGAGCCTCTGAATTCACGCAACAATTTTGGTTCAATTTTTATGGACTATATGTTGTATATAGTGGAACTTTGATTTATTTTTTATCAAAAGATAAATTTTGTATTTCTTTTCAGAACGGTACAAACACCAATTCTCCCATTTACAGAATCACTAGACTAATTTTTACCGTTCAAATGAATACCAAATTGTCTAAGAAACCGAATATCACCATTACTACTAAATCTACAATGATATTGTGTTTTCCAAGTCACCTCTGGGATGATTGCAGCTTTCCTTTCATCATATTGACAAATGTTGATCGCCAAATTTTCTTTTGTTTCTCGTCGTCCAAATATGATTAGTAGCAGCAATAGTAGCAAAAAGAACCCTTTGTCTGACCTTTTCGTATCTCCAAGCTTCAAGCAATCTGAGAATCGAAATACTGATGCCTCTTATCTTTATATTTCAGTCTATCCCTTGCATCATTTTCTGTAGAAGCGCCTTAATTAGCATATATACGGTCAGAAAAAAAACTAATCTCCATCTTCCACTGGTCCTGCACAGAGTTCACGTTTAACTGCTTCCTTTAAGAGCCCTAATTTGTCCATCCTGGCCCGAGTAAGAAACCAATCTTTTACAGCCAACCAAAAGATAAAACTCTGCTTGGACACGATATATGGACTCCAAACTACTCTCTACCGTCCTTATTATAAAGCATTTTAATTTGACATAAATTTTACCTAATATATATTTTTATTGAAAAAAAACTTTAAAACTATATTTTCACATTCTTTGTATTCTTCTAATTATTAGAAAATATTTTTAAGGTTTTTATTTCAATTGAAAAAACATATTAACATGAAACCTATGACAAATCAAAATGCCTTATAATAATAATAGAAAGGAGTATTTGGAACTTCATGTCTTTAGAAATATTACCCATAAGCTAATTATAGCCCCTTCTAGTATTATATGGTTGTCCAGCTTTCACCATCCACTTACCATATCGAACACCTCCTAATAACTAGTCCCTAACTTGTATTAGTTTTCTCCGATGCCATCCACAGTCAGCCTGAATCTGATAATTCCGTATCCTCTTATTACATATAGTGTGGAACTTGATTTCCTCCAATTCTAATTCGAAAGGATTCAATATTTAGTTAGTATCATGTGTTTCTAAGCTCGTGTAAGTAATTGCAAAATTAATATTAACGCCTTGCTTGAGTTACATAACTAAAAAGAATATAAAAAGTTTTTGCAACTATTTTTTAAAGAAAGAGTTTAATATGCACAATTCTCCCAATACAATATATATATATATATATATATATAGGGATTTTCTAGAGTCTCGTAGCTCATTTATACGAAACCGTCCCGTATTTTTTTCAACCAATCAGAATTGAGGGTACGAAATTTATTCATGTGGTGAGTAACATGTTAATATATCTCAAAATAAATTTTATTAAAATAAATTTTTTTAAAAATTAAGTAAAACCTGTTAAGCAGGTTGTTTACCGGATAAAAATATTTAAAAATTATTTGTTAAAATTGACACATCAAAAACTATTTTACTTAACTATTGGAAAAGTTGTTTGCCACTTTCGAGTTGCCTTTTTTTTTTCTTTGGTAAACAAATTACTTCAAACGGGCGACTAATTTACATCCAAAATGCTTCTAGCATCGTCTTACAACAATATGCTAATGCTATTAGGGACTCTTTCGCTAAGCAAGCGTCCTTCTTCTACACTAAAACCTAGAGCCGATTTGGCTAACGAATCGGGCAAAAATTATTGTCTTGGAAGGTATGTTCTATCTTGGATTCCTTTTATGAGACAAGGATCTCTTGGATCTCGTTTAGCCATGTATTCTCCCGAGCTTCTGCAACCATGCTCCGGATCCCTTCCACTGCTACCAGTGAGTCAGACTCAAAAATACTTTTGAGTGACCTAACTGCTTAGCAATTCTCATGCTCTGTAGAATTTCTTTTAGTTCAGCCCTTTAAACTGGGCAATAGCCTATTCTCTCTTGAAAGGCTTTCAAAAATCTTCCTTTGTTGTCCCTGATAATGCATGCCACTGCTGTTTTCATGTTTTAAGCAATTGTGGAAGCTGTGAGGTGCCGATTATCATGTTTTATGGTCCTTGCACATATCTTTCAATCAAACTCTATCTGGGGTACTCAGGTCTGTTTTGAGTTTTTTGGTTTGCTACACGGCTTTACGGATCGTTCAAAATTTGATCAAAACAAGATGAGTTCAATGGTTGCTTTCTGAAAATGCAAAAAATCAGATTGGGCTCCTTCTATTGAAGGGTCTGTTTCTCATAGCTTTAGAACTATTTTCCAGAATTTGCTTTTATGATAATCTTCTTCATTTAGTGTAGTTTAATGCATTTACTTATTGTAAAATGCATTCGTAGTTTGACCGAAACTTGATGTGAACATGATAACCACTTTCTGAAAATCTCTCCTACGGTGCTGTATTCAGAGAATCGTTTCTCTTCTTTCTTGAACTATTTTGTGAGACTTCTTTTGGTGAATACTCTCTATGTTTATTGGAGTTTACTACAGAATTATGGATTGTAAACTGGAGCTATAGATTGCCCGAAAATTAGATTTGAACTTGATAGAGAATCTGAAATTTATGAACTTCAGTTCTGATGTTCTGTTTTAGGAAGCATTTTCCTCCTGAAGTTTGAACTTCTTTTCTTAAATTCCTTACGTGAAGCTATTCTTGATAATCTGACAGAAAATGTGATTGAGAACCATTGTCAATTTGACTCATCTGCAAATACACCTGAATAAAAAACAGGTAATTATCATACATGATAATAACAATCCACTCAAGAAAAATACTGCAGGAATATGATTACACAAAGACTAAACCACTGGTAACATGTTCAAACAGCTGATAGCGTAAGTTCGTACCTACTATATCAAATCAATGGATGCCAAACTCTCCGTATACACAAGAGGACCATCAGAAATGCACATGATAACTAGTTCTGAGTTAATCTTTTCCCTAGCATTGGCTCTTGAATTAACTTTTTCCCTGACATTGCCTCTCAAGTAGTATTGTTTAGCTTCTTCACTAGCCTCAGGCTTGAAGTTGTAATTCTTTTCTTCAAATAGGGCAGTCTTTCCCTTAATCACTTTGAAGTAGTTCTTCTTGCTTAAGTTGTGTGAATATAAACGATCTTTCCTTAAAACCAAAACAAGGTTATCAGGAATCCTGATGGGGAGGGGCATTACTAGTCCTCTAATTGTGAATAGTTTGGTCCAAGAACTCTTGACAGCATATTCTCTCATTATCCAACAATCATTATCATTATTATACACAGTAAGGGAATTCAAGTAAACATACATATAATTTTTTTCCATTGACCAAAAAGTAAACACACAGATAATTCTTCTCAATTGACCAAAAAGTGAAGGGAAGAAATCGAGCTGAACAACACTTCCAGTTAAACCAGATACAATGGCTTGCCTTTTATCTCTGGCGGATACATACTCACTCTAAACAAATTCGATAATCAGAAATTTTGCAGAACGAGGATGGGAACCGCTACCTAGTCCAAATCATAACCAAAAAAAAAAAAAGGCAGTGAATCATCTTAATCGTATTTAATAAAATTAACAATAACAACCCATTTGACAGCCCAAGTTGTAAACAGTATGTATTATTATGCAATTCACCTCAGAAATATCTCATCATTCCATGATCTGAACCCCGAATACATTAAAACAATAAAACATCAAAAAGCTCACAATTGAACAATCAAAATGGACATACCGATAAGCAATACTGATAAGCAACTACATTGATTATGTGACAGATACAAGACCTTGGTGGGTTGTCGAAGCCCCCAAAATAATTTACCAACTTAAACTGTAGATAGGATAAGTCAGGTCGATCCCACAGGGACGGGTTAAACTTGAAATAACCGGAACACGAAATTGGACAAACAAGAAAGAAAGTTGCAGAGTGTCACTCACTTGCACAAGTGGGTAAAGTCACTCAGGCAAGTGACTCTGCAAAACTGAAGACAAAGAAAGAAAAATGGAACCTCACTCACGGGAGTGAGAATTCTGACTCAAGGGACTGACTCAACAAACTGGATATTCATTCTCTTTTCCCTATGTAATCAAGTTGTAATCTTGCACTCTTTTGGTATGAATTCATGCTCATTCAGGCACTTATATATCTCTAAGTCACTTCCGATTTTTCCTAGAGGTATCTATATCAACTCAATTAAACTATTTTTCAATGATTAATCAAGTCATAAAGTCATGAAGTTTTCAAGCCTTATATGAATGCTTATGCTAACCAAGTATATTCCTATCTCAATTAGAACTTTGGACTGTTACCTCCAAGTCATAAGTTGAAGCTAAATGATTCTGAACCTTGTTTACCCTTCCGGATTCACTTAGTTCGTGCACAATCAATCAAATGGCCAATTTAATCAAGAGGTAGATGAAAGCTTTAACTTCAAAACACAAAATCATCCGAATGCATTCACAAACTTAAACTACATAGGTTCCAGAGAATGAAATCTAATTAACTACACATACAAACTACGAAAATACAAGAAAAGAAGTAAAGCATTGAGAAGAAGCGAATGCGGATGGGTGAGCAACAGTCACTCGCCCGAGTGACAAAGGTCACTCAGCGAGTGAGGTCTGTTACTCCTCTTTTTCTGCTACTGGACTTCTTCTTCCTTTGGAGTTTTCTCCCCTCTCCGCTCTCTTCTTCTCTCTCTGTGGTGTTTTGTGTGTTGTATGTCCACTCAGATCTCTATTCATGCTGGGAATGCAGCTCCCTTTATAGAGCTTTGAAGCCGGTTCTTCTTCCAAGATAGCCTCCCCATGCTTGTAGTTGTTTAATCCTCCCAATGTCTTGAGCCTGCAATCCAACTTGGCTGTTCTTCTTTTCTTCTTCTAGCACTGGCAGCATTGCTCTCATTGATCAGTTGAGGTGGCTGAGATTGTAGCTGGGGGACAAGCATGCCTCTTTGAGGAGACATACTCATTAATGA